GTCCTGCAATTTTTGGTGTCTGTTTGTTGTTTATGCAAGAACTAGCTAATATGTAGCTGTAATTAAATTTTTGACGTTGTCTTCTTGTGGGGAAATGTCCTCCCGTGCCGCCCGGTGCCGTGCCTCCCTTCCGTTGAGTTATGAGCAGGCCAAGAGCTCTATGTACCTGTCACTTCCCGCACAACGTGTTGCTGTCCATTTTCCAGCACTTGATATAAATTGACTTGCCCAAGACGGTGCTCCCGAGTTGCTTTCGCGACGGCAGCTCCATACGTGAGCTCCATTTTAAGTTGCAGCAGCCAGGATGCAGGATGTCCTCCGGTCGTGGTGTTAAATGTTGGTAAACCAATTAGAAGCGACTGACAAAGGCCAGGGGCTAAAATGTGATATTTAATCAAGTTTGCAACTTAAAACCGAACTGCCATAACATCGCCTATTCTTTGGTTCTTTGGCTTAATCTGAAGCGAGGACCGCCCTGATCGGGGCAGGGGGCGGGCCAATGATTTATCACATTGTCCGGCAAGAGTGCGGACGACAGCAATCCAGGTTTTAAGTCGGAGCCCCAGCCGGGCATCCGGTCCGGCGGCGGACAATGCAACCGGGAATCGAGGTGCAAACGAAACGAAACGAAACCAAAATGAATTATCCCTTTTGTATGGAATCAATTTATGTGAGCTGCAGGACCATCCCTCCCACAGAACATCCGTCCAGCTCTGTCACGCTTTTCGCTGAGATATGCAGAGCAGACGGGGGAGGCAAACAAATGACGATTCGCAGCACATTCGAGGTTGTCCTTTAACTTGAAATTAATTAACTTTTGTGCTCCTTTTGTTGCGGCCGCCTGTCTGTGCAACGTGCAGTGGTCCGTGCGGCAAGGCAGCGACGCTCGTAAAAAATATCCAACCATATTTAACTGTCAGAACTCGCGACTTTTTACGCTTCGACGGACGCATAAACAAACCGCACTGCGTGCACAATACTGCTCAGTGCTCCCCAGTCCTCCCACTGTGCTGTGACTGGAATAACATATATATGCCAATATCTCCGGGAATATGTATCTCCATGCGTATTCGCCCGAATTTATGCGCACTTTAATTGTAATTCATCTGTAGATTGGAGGGCTGTTAGCTACTCTCCAATAATACGCCACTTACCCTTAAACAAACACCGAGTACACCAAATAACTGTCTGTTTATTTACTCACATTTTATTTACTCGTCTATAATCGCCCCCCTGCTCCCCTCCCCCACTGTTTTGACCAGAAGTCCGACTAACTGTTGAACAGCTAATCAATCCAGCAAAACAGGCAAATATTTGCCATGTCTGCCCGGACTCCCAGCTCGATTAAAAATGTTTATTTCATCCGGACAGAACGGAGCGGAACGGAACCCCCATGTGCCATCAAATCTCAAGAGCATTTGTCAATGAAATCGGGTTTCTGCGGCCTGCCACAAAGTAAGTCCACTCGATTGGCCGTCGAATGGTGGGGCTCTGGGGCTCTGGGGCTGTGGGGCATCAATTATTGCCATAAGCACTTTTAATCGCCATTTAATTGATTCTGTTGCTTCGGCAACGGATTGACAATTAAATCCATTATTGTCCTTGGACAAAAGCTCCTCCTGATTTGGCACTCCACAGATGGGGCATTTAATCACAACAATTCAAAAATATTCCCCCCAGGGAATAATCAAAACTTCAATTAATTTAAAGGGAAATTGAATCGTTGCCGCCTTTCGTTACGTGTGAATGCGCCAGGTAGTGTTTTTCTCCATATAAAATATGCATTTAAATAAATTCTAAAATAAATCAAAGCTTTTTATCGATCCTTTGTGGAATGACTTTGGAAACTCCTCTGCAGGAAAATTGTTACAATGGAAACTGTCCGATTTAAGAGGACAATAATCAATAAAAATAGGAAGCAGCAACTGGAAACAATGTGTACTTTAAAGGCTCGGAAATGTGTCCTTTCCGAGTCGCTAAACCATCATCCCAGTGCCCTGTGCACTCTGCAATAAATCACACTTTAATATTCCTATTTTCAAACGACATGCAGCATAGTGTCGTGGGTGTGTGCGATTGTGTGTAAATATTATATGATATAAGTGCCGCTCAATCGGGATCACAAATAGAGGCAAGCATTTAGCCATTCGGCGCTCAAAAACGCTCAATTAATCATTCAGTTGTGGTAAAAACAAGTCCTGGATAGCACTTGGCCATTGGGGTTTTTGATTATTATTTTGGGTGGCTATAAATAATAAAATATTGGCCAAATCCAGCCACCAGTTACAGGGGATTGTCCGCTTCGTCCCAGTGCATCGGCTACGTGCTGGGATTGCGTTTTCCGTAAACCGATTCGAGCAGGTGCCTGTCTTCCCAAGCTTTTACCTGGACCTCGACCTGGAATTAACAGCCAAGGGGGGGGGGGGGGGGTCACAATTCGATACAGATGAGACCGGAAGAAAACAAAAAAAAGAATAGGGATGCAAATTGTGCTGTCTGGCAGGATTCTGTTTGCATAGCGACGACGACGACGACGACGACGACGCATCTTCAGAGGCACCTTGGAGTCGATAACTTGACTCTGACAGGGATCCCAGGACGGAAGCCAGAGCAAACGAACTGTAAGCCAACAAGAGCTGAGGGAGCGGAGTCTGAAAAGGATGAGGAGATCAAGGGTCAGAAGAGCAAATGTCCGAGTATGCAAATATTGAACGAGACAATCAAATATGCAACAGTATTTTGCTCCTTTTTTCATTCCATTCCATTCCGTTCGATTCCATTCCAGTCCTTCTGTTGCTGCCGCTTGACCTGGCATTAAATTTCGATGGGAAACCCATCGACAAAAGGGTTGCACGTCGCCCGACTACATAAACAAGGAAAACAGTGGGTGCTGGGTGCCAGGGCCAGGATATTTGTCCCTTCCCGGGGGGAGCTACGGCCGGAGATTTGGGTGTGAAAAACTTTTTTTGGGAAGGCCTCTCGGCTCGAGTCGACCCCCGGGAAAGCCTTAAATCAGCATTCAGCCCCTAGAAACGATAAAGTTCCCATATTCTATTCATGAGCCCAGAGCACAGACAATCAGAGACATGGGATCATAATTTCCCATTCAGACCGTACTCTGCACCATGGTGCACACTCGCTAAAGCTGTAGTCATTCATTTAATAGCTCTAATGTGTTCTCGACTCGCAGATTACTAAATCGGAGTGCACTCAGCGGCGACGAGACGGGGCTGCTGATAGAATTTCCGTTTCTCTTTCGTCGGAAAAGGAAAGTAATAACAGGACACATTCACATTCACATTCACCTATCGCCCATCCGTGCAGATAGATGCATATTCCAGAGTCACAGTCGCAGATCAGCTAGCACGTGTGCGAGTGGCTCGAATGGGTTTGAATGGGTTCAGCAGCAGAGTTTAAAAGTAATTCACTTGTGCGGTTTTACCTTTGAGCGTTCCCCCCCCCCCAAACACACACACACACACACACACACACAAACATCACACACAAACATGGCATGCACTCGGGAGCACACAGCTTGCAAATAAGCCATGCATTTATATTGTTTTCCTTAGCCACCCAACCGGCAGACCCTCCGCCCTCCGCCCTCCGGCCTCCCCCTGCAACCGTGATTATTGCTACTGTTCTGTGGGTAATGTTAGCAACATCTTTAAACGGTTGCGAAGTGCACAAAATCTGCCACAGAGGAACAATCCATGTCTCCCCATGGCTACGGCTTTGAACGTTTCATTGTTTGGAGTTGATTATAGAACGGCTTCAAGTGACATTTGCCCTGGCTCCTGGTATACAGATGCAGCATAATTTACATATTGACAGTGAGAAACCATTTCAGGCTCGAATTGAATCTGCCAGTCAGGAAGTCAGGAAGTCCCGACGAAGGGGGCCTTTGTCTCCCGCAATCCACCTCTGTAGCCGGTCCTCGTCTCGACTTAACTTTCAATTTACTGCACAATGAACTCGAGGCCGGGCCTCGGGGTTAATAATAGTTAAAGTTCACACATTGTGTGGCTCACTGGCGTTGCTTTTGCACTTGCACTTGCACTTACAGTTTCAGTTGCTTTTGCTTTTGCTTTTGCTGTTGGCAAATGTTTACACGAAGTTTTTCTAAGTTTTTGGCCATTCATTGGAGCGACTTTGTTGGCCAACTGCACTTTGTTGGCTTTTATGGGCAGGAAGCAGTCAATATTGAGGCCAAACGCGATAAAATATGATAGTAAACCAGAAGCAGAAGCAGAAGCAGAACCAGAGACAAACACATTACACAGCCAGAACTGGCTCCCTGTGAACTGAACTGAACTGAAGTGAAGTGAAGTTAGTGAAAGGTGGATCATAAAAGTAGTAGTCGTAAACCTGGAATCACTAGGGATCCATCCGCGTTGTCTTGGGTGAACAGCTTTCGTGCTTAATTTATAATTCTTAAATTGTAATCAGCGTTTCCCCGAATAATTACTGCATATTTATTTCAGGATTCTCCTGTCACCGAGGCCTGCCTTCCTCTCTGAGGCTGGTTCCCTGTGGTCTGTTCTTAATGGTCTGCTCGATTTTAATGGGCATGGTCCTGGCTCCTGTTGTGTGAAAAATCACTGGCTACGCCTCATAATTGCCACGCCCACGATGTGGAGCAAACATTATTCTGTCGGCGGCAGTTATTGTTTTTTCCCCCAGGAGCCGTTGACATGCCATTTGTCAATTTTACACAGACACCCAACACCCACCCACTGGCCACCCACCTCGTCAGGTATCAGCGATTAAGGGGGTGGGCGATGGGGAGGGAGACCGGCACCGGCCTGCCCTTTGAATCCCACATTGACCCACTTGGATCCACTGCCAAAGCGTGGCCAACCCATTGCCGGGAATGGGAATTTATGGATATGCCATTGAAATGCTGCCAAATCGATTTGCGGCCAGAAGTTTCGAATTCAACCGAACCGAGCATATGAGCAGACATTTCGATGTCATTTCATACACAGAATGAATATTTATAAACAAAATTTGATATAATGAACATTGTCCGACAGCTGCGATCGGGCCAGCGGCGAGCAGTCCTCGGGCTTTGTCAGCGTTATGCTTCGAAGGACCAGTCGAAGGACCAGTCAAAGGACCAGTCAAAGAACCAGTCGAAGAACCAGTCCAAGGACTGCGGCAAGCTCCAGGCGAGCAGCATATGCGGAAAGAGTCCTGGAAAATCAGGAGAACCTTCCACGGATTCCGGAAAATCAGACAAAGGACCCGACAAGGGAAAAGCCGACCCCAAGCGCAAGATGGTAACCATGATCGATGGCGACGGCGTGGGCGCGGAGTTGACGAATGCCGTGCTGGAGGTCTGCTGTGCGGCCAAGGTGCCCATCGACTGGGACATCTTCCATGAGCACAAGGCGCCCGACAGCGAGGACGTGTCGCCAGAGGTGCTGGAGTCGCTGCACCGCAACAAAGTCTCCATTAGGGGACCCATCAAGAGCCACCAATGGTTGGATAAGCTGCGCAAGGAGCTGAAACAGTTCGCGTACGTGTCCGTGTGCCAACACCTGGAGGGACACGAGTCGCCGTACGGCAAGTTCGACTGCGTGATCGTGCGGGACGAGTTCGAGGGGGAGTACTCGGGCATCGAGCACCGGGTGGTGCCCGGCGTGCTGCAGACCATTAAGGTGAGCACCTCCGTGGGCTCCACGCGGCTCGCCAAGTTCGTCTTCGACTACGCCCTGAAGGAGAAGCGCAAGAAGATCACAGTGGCCCACAAGGCGAACATCATGCAGCTGACGGACGGCAACTTCCTCGAGGCCATGCACGAGGAGGCCGACAAGCACGTGCAGGAGGTGCGCTTCGAGGAGCGCTACCTGGACACGGTCTGCCTGAACATGCTGATGAAGCCGGAGACCAACGACGTCCTTGTGTCCTCCAGCATGTACGGCGACGTCATCAGCACCATTGCCGGCAGCATGATGGGCGGCATCGGCATGTGCCCCGGCTACGCGGTCAGCTCCAAGGGCCTGATGTACAACTGCCAAATCAAGCCGCTCCAGGAGATGGTCGGCAAGGATCTGGTCAATCCCACCGGCTTCCTGCTCGCCGCCGTGCTCATGCTGCGCGAACTGAAGCTCGACGATCATGCAGCCAAGATTCAGTGCGCCATCCAATCGCTGTACCGGGACTCCGATGTCCGCACCCAGGATCTGGGCGGAGAGGCCAAGTGCTCGGAGTTTGTCCAGAAAGTGTGCGACATCCTGACCAGCGAGTGAAGAGATCTTTCCCTCAGTGTAGCCATTTATTCTGGGCGGCCAACCATTACCGCATTCGAGTTTTGTATTTAAATTATATATATTTCGAGTTTTAGACAATATTCCCCTTTTATTTGCTGCTAAATGGAATACAGTTTTCACTTAACGACTGGCCGGATCCTGCACTGAAATGCATCGCTCGACGGGGGTTTATGGGCCCGCCATATAACCGGGGACATTGTGATAATTTGCTGGGAACGGGGACCGAACTAAACACATTTATAATATGTAATTACCTCGCATTTAATTCACTCCTTTCCCTGGGGGTGGGGGAGTGGAAGAAGTCATAAAAGTCGCCATTCGCTTGGCTATCGCCTGGCAGTCGTATATTTATATAGCCTCCAGTCCCCAGTTCCCAGTTCCCAGTCCGTGCTCTCTGCTCTACAAGGATGCTGGCTGCTGGGTGCTGGGTGCAGCGCATTTCGACAGATTTATGGCCGCACGGCATTAACCGCCACAGATGCCAGATGCAGTTTCCTTTGGCGGTGCCCCTTTGCCTCCTTTGCCTCTTACCCTCTCCCCTTTTTTCGGCTCTTAATTAAGTTGCATTTCGAGTCCTGCCACGTGCTCTGCAGAGGCGGAGGCAGAGGCAGGTCCTCGGGTGCACTCTCTGATAATAAAAGCACATGTTGACATCTGCCCACAGTGTCAGGAGCCCATTATGTACCTATTTGGAGGCTATGGTGGATGTCCTGGCTCCTGCTGGGTGTTGGGTGTCGCTGCCCTTGCTCTGCGGATGGCCATGGCCCTTGGGCGGGGGCGGTGCCTGGGGGGAGGACCGCTTTTAGTGCCGCTTAAGCTTTTTACACATTTTCGTTTATGGTCTCTGTCGTTTCACTGTTCCGCCGCTTCGCTTCGCTTCCCATCCCGCCAGGACGTTCCGTGCTGTCAAGGCTGTGCCTATTAGTCCCCGTCTACCCCCCTACCCCCGGCCCTATTCATCTGCCTGCATCCTTTTGTTTTTCTTAAATTGGAATGTCATAAAAGTGTATGTTTGCTTATTTAAAAATCATCCCAAAGAAAAAAAGGGAGCGGAAAGCAAAAGGCATCGCATTGTTTCTCTTACTGTCTTCTGCTTCCTTTTCAGCCTTATCCGTTGTCCTTTTCCCAGGCTTCTCCTGCTCCTTCTTCCGCCACTTTTGTTGCATGGTGCTGGTGCCCTCTCGTATCTGGTGTTTGTCTGCGTCTACTTCCGTCTCCGGTTGCACGCTCGCCACTGCTTGGGCCCTTTTTTATTACTTCTGGCGCACATGCTGCTCCTGCACGTAGCTGCTCCTGTTTTGTTGACTTTTAATGGATTTTTATTAAAAGCAAATGGGCAATGCACCAGCATGCAAAATGGAAATTCAAATCAAGCCGGCAAGGAGCAGAGAAGAATGCTCTTGATTGCTCTTTGCATTGCAGATGCAGTTGCAGATGGAAATGCCAATTCAATTTCAGGCCCAAGGATACCATTCTGCTGCAGAAGGCTAGCAAAGATACGCATTTCAAAGATACTTCTGCGACAGCGAGTCATGGTCATGGTCACACATCGCTGGGGAATGGGGAGTGGGGAGTGGGGAGTGGGTACTCCGTATTGGATATTGGGTATTCTACTGTAATTTCCTTCCTGTCTGATCTCCGCGCTTATTTATTTCGTTGTTTTTCGATTGGGCCACCTTTGACCTTTTTGGACCTTTTCTCCTTGATTTTGTTCCACTCAGTTGAAGGTTCGTTTGTTTCCTGTCAATCCAACGAACTGCAAATATGGAGCGTAAATTGACGTCCCCTTGCCCCCGGCAAGACTTTCAACCCGCCCAACCACCCACCCGCACAGACAGTAATTCGGCCCGTGGGCATCATTTGCACAGCGCCCCGATAACAACGACAACGACAACGACAACGACCTTGACTTGATCCCGGCTGGCGGAGTCGCAGGCCTGCCAACGGGTTGAAGTGATTTGATTTAATCATCGACCAGCGACGACTGGTAATGAATAATTCATTCCCGCTAAAGGACTCCAATTGCCTTGTTCTCAGACTCAGAATCAGACTCCTGTTGGTGTCTGAGGAGGTTATTAATTCGAGAATCCTTTCAACTAATTTAATATCTTTGAATTTTAATTGACTAATCAAATCTGGTGTCCCAGTCCATAGATTAACTAAATTAAAGATGCGTTCTGCGTCCAGAATAGGGTATCCTCCTCCTTTAGACAATCCTCAACTTTGGTGGCTACAATCGAGGGGGTCCTCCTGTACTGCTGGCTAATTTCAGTGACCATCAGCCAGCAGTAAACATTCGCAGCATTAGCGAGCATTTTTACCTGCATCTGCCACTCCGACTCGAGCTCCAACTCCAACAGAAATTGCTCCTGCGATGATACATTGCTGGCAGCCATGCAATTAAGAATCCCCAACCCAACAGCCACCCTATCCCCCCACCCTTAGCATGTGTGTGTGTGTGTGTGAAGCGAACCGCAAACAGCCGAAGTGCGCTGCCCTGCCCTTCACCGCGAGCACACAGCAGAGAGAGAGAGAGAGAGAGAGAGAGAGAGAGAGAGCTTGCAATAAACAATGGCGAACGGCATTCGAGCTGACAGCGAAACACTAAAACGGTAATTGCCTGTAAACATCGTCTGCAGAGCGGCGCAGAGGGGCAGGGTGGAGCCAGTGACGATGGGATAATTAGAAACTGAATGAGTGATTAAACCCATCATACTAGTCCAGAGCCCAAATATTGAGCACAAAACAGAAAGCAGAGATTCCAGATTCTAAATTCCAAATTCGTATTTTCGATGATTCCAAAAAGCCGTTCAAAGCGATTTAATCGCAAAATTAGAGCGATTTTCAAGTAGTTCTTGTGGTTGGTCGGTATTTTAATGGAATGTTTGCTAGCCAAAGATAAGACATTGGTTTTGAGCTCAATCAAATACTGTATCCCGGTAAACTTTTGCGCCGCACGTCCATCAATCAATCAAAGTCGTCAATCGCTTCGAGTCAACAGTCGTGAACACATTAGCAGCGTGTCAGTGGCAGGTGCAAGAAGCTGAAGGGAGCACACACGCGTGCCACACACGGTCAATCACAATGGCTTAAATCTCAATTTAAAAGCGAACACACAAACCCTTTAGAAAGCATCAATTTTAAGCGCCCAAAAGGGCAGGAAAATGCCAGAAGCATAGTTGCAACTGCGCTCCAGCACTCTCAACAATTTGCCACAAGGCCGCAAGGGGGAGTGGTACGGCAGGAGGAGGGTGAGAAGCCATTTGGAAATCTGAAAAGATGCCCGTGGGCGTGGCAGAAGTGGCAGAAGCAGGCCGAGCACCAAGGATTGTTCTTATGTTTATGCGCGTTTATTTACGACTCAAAATTTGAATAATTTACGATGCCGACGATGGCCGCTTAAGAATGCCATGAAGGGTGTCCCGGAATATGCGGAATGGCGTAAGAGCTGCCATGTGTGTGCGCCAGCCAGAACAGCAAAAGGGAGAGGACCTCCTGCTCCGTCTCCTCCTTCTCCGTCCTCTGCGCTGCTCACTCCATGAAAAGGCAAACAAAACAGGACACGAAACATTGAATTTGCTTGGCTTAGATGAGGCTCTCCGCCGCATCCACAGCCAAAGCCAAAGCCAAAGCGAAAGCCACGACTACTCCGGTTCCGGTTCGGCAATTTTGTGTCGAGTGGCCCGGACGGACGGTCAACTCTTTGCATAACCCGTACGCCCCCTCCCCAATAAGAGCCAGACGAAACTGCCAGAGAACAGATTGCAGCAGTGTGCGGCATGCGGCATGCGGCAGGCGCCGGAAATTCCGGCGATGGCGATGAACAGAAACGGAAACACAAAACGCCACTATTAACCGGAAGTTAAATTATTGCATTTGTGATGGCAGATATTTACATTTTCAGCTGGATTTCCCACGGCAAAAGGTGGTAACGTGACCGGGAAACGGCATCAGAACATTGTCGAATGATAGCCAACGAATATACGAAGGAATGGGGAAGGAATGTAAGTACCCAAACAATGGGTACATAAATATAAAAACACAATAGAAATAAGTTGGCTATTCGGATCACACCAGAATAGTCTACAGCAGGACCTACAACTCATTTTATTTTGGGGGAAGCAAACCGAGAACTTGATAAAACCTTTGAAAATGTCTAGTCTAACAAATGGCACCTACTTTGCAAAAATATTGTGTCCCACCGGGAAGAAAACGATTCTGGGAAGCTTCACTAGACCCGTGATGAAGAACATCTTCGACACAGGTAACTGTTGCATGCCACACCAACTGAAACCCAATCAGACCCAGTCGTATTGCAGCCGCTCAAATTGGGATCGTGGGCCGGTACTTGGTCAGTGCCGAGGACAATACCGTCATTGGCGACGACCTGGCGTTGCGCTATCTGCTGGAGCGGAACCACAGGATCATTGTGTCCGACTCCCTGGATTGCCGCCGCGCCGAAAAGGTTTCCCTGGACTCTTCCGGCGAGACTGCGACCGAGGAGGAGGGCTTGCATTTGGTAAGAGCGGAGGTAGTGGATCAGGAGTTCACCAACACGGAGAGAGAACTGTTGCAGGAGCTGCTGGAGGAAGTCACCAGGCAGGTCGTGGTCGGATTCAGAAAGTTCCTCACGGAACAATCATTCTCGAAGGCCCCCACCGAATGAAATTCCAAATTCAAAAATCTATGCTTCCCCCTGAACTTCCGAATAAAGCTGGCTATCTGCGGTAGATAGCCTATTGAAGGTATCTTTCAGATAAGCGATTGAGTAGTTTGCATATGAATCATGCTTTGGACCTTGAACCTCGGACATCGATGTACCGAAAACAATTGCGAGATAATCTGACCAATGGTCTTCCGGAAGATATCAAATTAATTTATTTCGAAAGTTCTGGACTTAAGACGATTTAGGTTTTATTCATTTGAACAAAAAGGCTGTGTTTCTTTTAATAATTTGTATGCTAAAAGTATGTAATATTCCCTTCCCTATTGTTGAACACGGATGCCATCATTTGGAGCGCTCATCGAAGATATCGCGGGCCGCACTCCTCATGACCTTGCCATTGATGTTCGTCGGGATGTGGTCGACGAAGACAACGCCGGCATTCAGCTGTTTGTAGTCTACGACCACCCGCTGGGCCACATGATCGATGATCTTCTGGGCCGCGATCTCGACGCCCTTCTTCCGGATGACCAAAGCTCCGGCCGCATCGCCGTAGCGCTCGTCCCGCACGCCCACCACACATACGTCATCGATCTCCGGCAGCTCGGCGATTACGTGCTCGATCTCGTTGGGCCAGTAGTGCTTGGACTTGTACTTCAGCAGGTCCTTCTTGCGGTCCACCAGATACAGGTTGTTGTCCTCGTCGAAGTAGCCCAGGTCCCCGAGATTGATCCAACCGTCCTGCAGGGTGGCGGCTGTGTCCTCCGCGTTGTCCACGTACCCCGTCCACCTGAGTCCGATGTCAATGAGCACCTCTCCCACCCCGTTGGTACCCAGCTGCTGGCGGTTCTCGTCGAGGATCTTGACCCGCATGCCAGGCGCCACGCGGCCCACGGAGTTCTCCAGACTCTGGTCGATGTTTATCGTCACGATGCCCGTCTCGGTGGTGCCGTAGGAGAACATGACGTAGCACTTGGGCAACAGGGCCTGGCATTTGCGCAGCACGGCCAGCGATACCCAGCCGCCGATCACCAAGGAGAATCTCAGGCTCTGCAGAGTCTCCGTCTTGGCCAGGGGACTGGAGTACAGCTCGTAGGCCTGCCAGGGCGCCATGGCGAGGCCGGTGACCTTGTACTTGTGCACGAAAGCCACGGCATGCTCGGCGCTGAAAGGTTTGCTCGAAACGATGCGGGTGAATCCGCAGGTGAGACTTATTACCATGATCGTGAATCCAGTCATCCAATCAATGGCGGCGCTGGTGTACACCACGTCCACGCTGAAGCAGAAACTGTAGATGCACAGGGATTGGGGATTAGGTGGGGGTTTCCATATGGAAAGGTAAGGAATCTCACGAGTTGGTGCTGCAGAGGTGACGATGGGAGAGCGCCACTGCCTTGGGGAGGCCTGCGGTGCCTGAGGAGCACAGCACCGCCGCCGTTTGATCGCCGCCAACAGCCAGGGGCGTGGGTCTATCAATGAACCGAAAGACAGCCATCCAGAAGAGTTCTTTAAGGGTGAACGAATAGGTACGCCACTCACCTGTAGACTGCCTCGGAGGGATGGGGCTTTATCAGATCCTCCACACTGGGCACACCCTCCACGCGACCCGTCAGGGTGATGATCTTTGGCGTCCACTCCTTGGTGATTTCCTTAATGGTCTCGTAGTCTTCGGCGTCGCAGAACATGATCTTGGGCTTCGTGACGGAGTAGAGTCTGGCGACAACCTGCGGCTCCCTGCTGCTGTTGACGGCATGGAAGGGTGTCGTGTTGAAGAAGCAGGCGGTGGCCACGGGCATGACGTAGGTGCTGCCCTTGCCGATGATCCCGACCCTATCCTCGTGGGTCAGGCCCTCGGCCTTGAAGTAGAGGGCGATGCGGGTGGCCAGGGAGAGCACATCGGCGTTGGTGAGGACTGTGTCGTCGTCGGCGGTGATCTACTCTTATATAGGGATCTCATCAAACCCAGTCCTCCCACGAGTCCATGGAGAATCGCTGTATCCCTTACCTGAAGGACGTTTGTGGGCCAGCACTTCAGGGTGTTGTGTGCCACCTGGCCAATGGAGCAGTTGTAGTCGTACAGCGCGGACCTGGGCGCTCCGCTCCATATCTTCGTTTCCTTGTCGTAGAATGTCGGAAAGATTGCCCGGGCCGTCATATTGATACAATCAAATGGAAATTCGCAACTGAGGGCCCACCACCCGACAAGCGTCTTTATATATGGAATGGAAATCGAATGGAAATCTCCACCGTTTCCGCACCCTGTATGCACACATATGTATCTTTATCAAGCGTCTCCATACTCGATATACACTATCTCGCTACAAATCCACACAGTCCAAAGTTTATCCACGCAAAAACTGGTATCCAAGAGATTGGAGGGCGCCTTCGAATGGCCGAGTCGTCAGCTGATTTTTGTTGTGGACTCCTCCGATTATCTCAGGTTTTAATTTCCGTTTGAGGTGAGGGCGTGTGTTCCTTGTGTTTGACGCCCTTGACGCCTGAAATAGATTCCCGGATATGTCGAAGGTTAAGCAGAAAGATCGAAAGTGTTCGTAGGAATTGGCCTTTTTTTAGTTGGGGAAAAGCATTGGTATGTTTTGCTAGGTCTATTCAATTCGATTGTGGTGGCTTGAGTTCGCAGGAATTCTCGGTTTTCCCAATGAAACATGCACTAAAACTTAATTATATTTTAAGGAACTTGGCATGGCATGGCTCTCAAAATAGTTCCCCTTTAAATGAACTCCGCTCGACTTCCGCTTTGCTGTTGTTGGTCCCTCGTTTTATTGCTATAATAATTTGGCGGGCCACGCCCTGTTGCGCCATTTGCATGGTGTGGCAGCAGCATCCCAAACTTCCGCATCCGCTGTGGGGTCTGCATGCATACATTTGCATTACATTACGGCCCCTCCCTTTCCTTTTGGAAGGGTCCTCTGGCTCCGGCTCCAGCTACAGCTCCGGCTCCGGCTCTGGCTGGCCAAAAGAAAGCAAAAGAGTTTAAAGTGTTTCTGGAAAATAGCAGCAAATAGCAGAGAGCAAAGAATGGGCCCAAATGGTCCGGTCGGCCAATATGCTTCCAGTGATTGGCATGCAAATAAGGAGGAGATACGGCCTCCGGGGTGCCCCATCTTAAGTCTTTAAGATACACACTAGTGGGGTGAATTCTGATATCGATTTGATTGGCGGTTTTCGGTACCCGCTCCTGTGGCTTTTCCAGTCGTTGGTCAGATTGCTTAGTCATGCGGCACCCAAGGGGAGGCAATCGGCGGCCTGCATCGCCACACACCTTTGAATGCACCAGGAAACCGCTGCATGCCGCGGATGCCATGTGGTTTATAATATTACTCCTATTGTGGGGCCTATCTAATTAATTTCCACCGCCGAGAGAGTGTCAGTGGAGTGGACAAATTGTTGCTAATTGAATAAACAGCCCATGACTGATAAGAAGATACGGTTGCCATGCGTACAGTAGCTCTCCGCGCTGATAACAGTGAAAAGACATTGATTTAATTAGAAGTATAGTATAGGACCCCCATTATAGTCCCCTGATTAGAGCCACTTCCCCACAGACACTGACCTCAGACACCAAGACAGGGAACAAATAGTGGAATTTGCTTTGCGGTGTTATCACTCGTATCACTCTGATCACACTTGTTGGGGGTCCCACCACGTGTTCGATGTTTTTTGGCCCCGGGAAGTCCCCCCCCCATCGAAAACTGTAATAAATCTTGCATACAGACACTGCGCAGACGCGGAGAGTGTTCCACTGCCGAGGCGTTCCGCAAAACATCGCGCCATTCATAAAAAGCGGCGATTTTCTGGTAGGATGCTGGACGCAAGGACGACAGTCGGTTGTCTGGGGACTCGGGTATGCTCACACAGTTTGCGGTGATTCCTACGAAGAAGCGGTTGCAGCAGCAGCAGTGGCATCCCCATTCGAACGGAGAACTTAAACGAAAAACAACGAATCTGAGGGAACGTTCATGGAGAAATACGATTTGTGCCAAAGCGACCTGTGAGAAGGATGATTCCTTGATGAGATTATCAGCTCAGATGTCCCTAAAGGATTGTTAATCGTGTAACGAAGTGCGTATGGGCCAGGACGAGTTCAGCGGGGAAGTACATACGAGAAAGTTTCGCTCAAGTGTTGTTAAGTGTCGCAAAGTTCGCCGTGAGAGTTAAGAGTGCTCGCCGATTCAGTTTCCTCACACGTTGGCCTTTTCCGCAAAAGTTTTCCCGGCCAGAAATCCACTGCCCAGGCCCCCATCCGTCCTTGCTTCCTGCCTTGCCTGCCTGCCTTACATCCTTCCTTGTCCTGCTGTCAAAATGTTGTGCCCAGAACAATTGAAGTTTTGACAACAAAATTTAGTTAGGCAAAGCCGCACCCGTTTCATATTCTCCCTTTTTTTTGCCCTGGAAGTGGAGTGGCGGAAAATTTCTGGTGAACTTTTGGCAGCCTGTCGGTGCGGCTTCGGTTAACTAGAGAGTGCCCCGCGAGCGCCCCCGCCCGCCCACCTACAACAGCGAAAAGCGGGAGCGTGTGATGTGAATGGTAAGTGCAGCAGGTGGAGTTGAGTCCACTCCTAATCCGCGTACCTATTTGCTAGTGTAAGTAAAAACTGAAATGACCAGTTAAATCCTTGAAGCGGGCATCTATCCTTTTCGATCCTTCCATCCCAAACGATCCACACATTTAAATGGTTTTTAGGGTATTGTTCGCCTCGACTCGCGAAAGATTGTTATTTATTTTTAAATTGTTTATTCTTCCAAACTCCTGCCGCGGGGCGAAAGTTTGAAAGGTGAAAGCAAAAGGTGTGAGCTCTGATTGCATTTTCCTTGATTTTGGGAAATCGTAGTATTCGTACAGTGTCTGTGTGTGTGTGTTGATGGAAAAATGAAGTGCCAATCCACTTTTTCCAAGTCAATTTCATTTAGTTTTCAGTTCGTATCCATTGAAGAACATGAACATTTCGACACACCTCTTTTCAAAAGTTTCAACCCAAATGGATTTATTTGTAGTTAAACAAGGCAACCAAAAAAGGGTTGATGCGAATCACAGAATGTTTTTATATGAAATGTAATTTCACACATCCACAAAACACTGTCCGGTGCAAAATGTTGCATATTTTTCCAGAGCACAGAATGGCTGTGGGAGTTTCAGGAGATCCACAACGAGCAGGGCCCAAAGGTGCACAGAAAAGGCACACAACACACAATGCCACACGCACTTGGCAGACTCTTGAGATGATGCTCTTTGAAAACATTTCCACAGTCATTTACATGCATTCTGTTCGTGGTAATTGTTGCCCTATGGCTGTCCACAGGAGCAGGCGTCAGACACAGGCACAGCCACAGCCACAGACAGAAGCATACTCCATATTCTGAGTTCTGCTCGGCCCTTAAAGCCGCATAACTATGCCCACAGCTGTGGACAAGAGGTGGCGGGGAGAGCGCCGGTGGGGCGGCCCTGTGGTCAGCGTGGGGACGTGTGGTGGAATGGGTCCGTGCGTGTCCCATCTATAATTAAGTGAATCTAAAGCGTGCCAGGCATGCCTCCCAAAGGGAGGCTGGAATTTCATGCCGACAAACGTGCCACCAAACCTGAGGGACAATCGGAAATGACGTCTTGCTCGGTCGCCATCTGGGTGTGGCAGGGTCCAGGGCAAGGCGAGGCAGTCTTAAATTAACAAAATTTAAGAAACGATTAAAGGTACATTCATTTCATTCCTTACCAATTGAGTGTTAACCAGCAGGTGCAGCACTCATATGTCTGCATGTAATGTAATGGAATGAATGAATGGAAACTAGAGTAATTGTGTTACGAATGGTATTCATAATAATTCTGGATATTGTTTCCTTTGTGGTGAAATCGAAGGAAGCAGATGGACAGATGGACAAATGGATACACATGGCCACTCAGGGCATTCCCTGTCCAAGTCAAGTCAATTCAATTAGCCGTAATATACGCAAATGTTTGCCTAGTTAGAGTCCAGGACCCGGAATTCACTCTCTGCATCATTCAGTGTCCTTGTTTGCACAGGGGGTGGTGCGGTGTGTGTGCGGAGGTGGCTGTTCATGAGTAATACGCACACATAATTATGAAAAATACACATAGAACTCAGAGCTCAGAGCTCAGAGCTTGGTTCACTGGATAAACTGCTAGAGTGAATGCTCGCTAGCCTCAACAAAATAAGATAATTTGTCCTCCTCTGCATCTCTGTATCCTCCGCATCCCTGCTGTTTGTTTATATTCTTTGGCATGGACTAGAACACCAATTAATGCTCATCCGCATCTGCATAAGCCCGGAACACAGACAGGACTCGGAGGTAGTCCGTGCCAGGGCGAGGCTCTAAAAGAAACAATAAATCCCATTGCCCGCAGGCTGCAGAAAATAATTACAAGCCGCTGACCGTTAGCACAAAATTTTAATGCCAGTAAACAGACATGAAGGAGGCCTCGAAATGGACCTGGACTTGGAAGTGAACCCGTAATGACCTGTTTATGTGCCGCATCTGAGGCTGAATTAAGCGTTTATTGGCCAATTATTGAGTAGGCTTTTACGATGAGAGTTAGGCCTGCTCATGAATAGCTCTGAATAATGCATATAATTACCCAGCAACAAATGAAATCTTCTACGTACATGTACATTTATAATTGAGCAGAAATTTCATTGTTTCCATTGGAATTTCAAATTGTAGGTAGCTTCTAGTTTGTTTGTGTCTTTAATCAGTAGTTAGACCTGCATAAGAGCTTGTCTGCCCACAACTCACTGATCTGCCAAGGCTAATTCCGTTTGAAATTCGATACGTACATAGCATATCTCTTTGTTTAGTTTAGTGTCCATATGCACCACATCGGAGGTACGAAACAAAGACGGGCACACAAAACGCTTACATAAAGAACAAATCTGCGATAAATTCTCAAGGGCCGACAAAAGAAAATAGCCAGCAAACGAGACCAAATAAAGAAAATCTACGACTACGAATGAGAGCATGAAAATTATGGCCAGCCATATTTCTGCTGGCTCAGAGGCTTTGGCTTTCGTTTTGGCTTTCGTTTTGGCTTTCGTTTTTGGTGGTGTAGTTGTGCGGCTGTGTGGCATAGACCGCCGCACACGAGGCACAAAGCTTAAATAAATAAAATAAATCAAAAATGTA